CTTTGATTCAGATCTCAGTTGAAGCCCATTTTTGTTCTTTTCCTGTTTCAGCATTTGCCTATTGCCTCGACATGAGGATGGGAAAGAGGGATGCCTGAGACCACTGAACTTGTACCTAAAAAGCTTGGTATTTTAACCTTAAGAGTTGCCCGATGAAGTTGAAGTTAATGAGGCAGGATGCTCCAAGACGACAACTTTGTTAAAAAAGTATTTGGACGGTGCTCTTAATCGAATCGCTAAATTTCGCGAAAACAACACTTTTCTGCCGCCATCAGACAACAGGACAGACGCAAATCCAAGCTGGAGTCTGCTGCTGGTCGGAGCGCCTGCAAGGCTTTGGATGCCACTTCGTCGTGGAAGGTAATCAGCTCGAGCCGCAACCATCAACAGCCATTTGCTAGTGACTATGAGCCTCAGTTTGGTCGAACCAAAGTCGACAGAAGACGTGTTGTGGAGGGCACAGCAACACGTCCGTCAATCACCGGGCGGCGGTTGCCTACGCCGGCAAAGAGCCTGTCGTCAATGTTTCATGACCTACCGGTACTCTTCCGCCTTTCGTCACCTCTTGCTTCATGTACTCTCTCGCCTGGCATAGTCCAATCAATCACCATCGTGACAGCCGCTCGTCTTTCTAGGCCCATTCACCGTCCCTTAGCACAAGCCGATGCCAATGATGATGATACTTTTTCCAAATCATTTATGCACACCTTGCTCGGTTACAAACTCCGTACGACAATCTCGTTGGTTCGTTTTATCCATCATAAAGTTGTGCGCGGTTTCAGACACTTGCTCATCTGCATTATTGCCATTTCTCTCCCTCTCCTCCTCCTAATACTACTGCCACTACTTTTTCTTCTTCTTGTCCTACCGCTACCGATGCAACTACTAATATGTTTACAACCGCTAATAATAATGAAATTTGTATTTATGCTTCAACAATAACAGCAATAACTACTAATTTTTTTCTCCGCCTCCTCGTCCTCATACTATTCCCACTGCAGCTACTGTTACGGATACTAATGTTACTACTTTAAATGATACTAACGTCTCCATTACTTCTGCTTTAACCACAACAACATCTGCTACTGCTACTGCTACTATGTATTATGCGCCTCCGCGTCCTTCTAGTACTACCACTGCAACTATTATTATGGTTACTAATGCTAATACTACTATGACATCTACTTATATTGCTATTGCCTCATCTTGTTCTACCATTAATATTGATTTTATTTATCATTTGCCACAGCATCTTTATCCCCCTTCTCTTTCTCATCTAATAATGCTACTAAAATATTCTTCTCCTCCTATTTCCACTCTACCGCTACTATTACTAATATTACTAATGCTATTGTTATTATTGTAAATATTAATACTTCCTCTACTATTTACGCATCTCATTTGACTTATAATACGGCATTTATAAACTTTTTGCTACACCATATTTATCACCTTCGCCCTCCTCTTAATATTTCTACTTTATACTCTTCTTCAGCTCTACCTGCTCCTCCTCCTACTAGTACTATTACTACCCCCCCTAATCCTGCTGCATCTTCTTCACTATAGCTGCTATTATCACTAATAATATAACTATTATAATTACGGCCAGTACAGCAGTAATAATAACAACTACTACGGCATTCCTATTCTTCATCCCCTCCTTATTCCCTTATTCATTTTTACTACTATTACTACTACTACTACTACTACTACTA